CTGCTGTGCCTGCCGCGGCCGGGCAGTGCGGCCCTCCCGGCGCCCACAGACACCCGGCCGCGGGAGCGGGGCGGCGGCGGCCGGGAGCAAGAAGAAGCGGCGGCTGTGCGGGTAGGTGTCCCGAACCGCGCTTCCCTCGCCATCCGCGCTGCGGGGCTGCTGCGGGAGAAGGAGGCGGGGGCAGGCGGAGCTGCCCTCCCTCAGCCCGGGGCCAGCCCCGCGGGTCGGCCACAGCGGCTGCCCAGAGACGTGGAGAGGCGGGGAGGCCTCTAGGTCAGCACGCTGTTCTTTCGCTTCCTAAAGACATGAAGTGATGGGGTTAACTCCCATCTGAAGACATTTTTGCATATCTCTCAACCACAAGGTTTGTTGTGCTGTCAAAGAAGGACATCGGATGAGTTTCACATAACTTGTTCTCAGCGTGCCTGTTTTGTCTGTTTCGTGTCAATTTTTTGCATTTAAATGCTTTTTTGGTATCTGTTAGAGTTGAAATTAGTGTGATGGCTTTCCTATTACTTCAGATACTGGATGAATTTGAAGTGAACAGCTCTTTTTATCTAATGTTTAATGTTGCTAACCTTTTCTTTTTCTGCTCCTTTTTCTGCAGGTTTTGTCCCTGCTGCTAACTTAATAACGCCCACAATTATTATTTTTTTTTTTATTCCTTCAGGAAAGCGCTAAAAGAATTAGATTATTGAATTCATTATCAAAAGATAATATGACTGCTGTCTATGGAATAAATCAGTTTTCTCACCTGTTTCCTGAAGAGTTCAAAGGTACATTTTCTGGTTTCTTCTAATGCCTTTTCTGTTATTTTTTTTATTCTTTCCCAGAACCTCGTGTCTTTCACATTTACAGATTCTTCCCGTGCTGATAGTCAGCTAATTTACAATGGCTGGTACCACACTGTAAGTACGTCCAGAGCATACAACAATCCCCTTCATGTTCTATAGTCTCACAAGGTTGAATTGCCCACAGCCTGAATATGTTTTCTTATTCAGGCAGTTCTGGTTTTTCTTCTTTCTTCTCACTGTGCTTTAAAGCTTTCTTCAGTTGCAACAGAAGAAAGGAAGATAGACAAGGTTCTTCCTTTTTGAAAAAGGAAGATACACAAACTTCTCCTGTAAGTGCATATTCCCTATCCCAGCACGAAATTGACTACACTCCTAATAATGCTTGGAGGTCCATGGCTGCACAACGACAGCTATGGCTTTCTGGAGCAATATAGCATACTTAATCTTTTTTTTCTAGAAAGTTTGTCTGATACCTTCCCTTCTTGCTGTTCATGTCTGCTGTTACATATTCTATTCATCAGAGAATTTAACATCTTGTTTTAATTTTAAATAATTAAACAGCATTTTTTAGTGAAACTTGAAGATGTTTCTGAATCTTTACTTTATTCTCCTATTATCTGTAGCCACTTATATATGGCTAAAACAAATTATTTTTTTAAGTAAATGAAATGTCTTTAAAATTTTCAAGTAAAATTTGCTTTATGAAATATCTATGGTTATTGTTCAACTTCAGAAAATCACATTTTGTACCCACATGCTCTACATAGAGTATTTCTGTTCCTTTTGAAACAGTAGAAAGACTAATATTCATTCTGGAGCATAATGATTATTTTAAAATACATGAATTTTCTATGGATTTTAAAATGAGATACAATCTCATGGTTGTAATTGTAGATCAAAGTTACCTTTGAATTCTAGTAAAGTTGTTCATGGGATTTGTTTCATTCATAGATTTATAGATGTTTGTGTTCTGTGTTTAGCTATTTACTTGAGAAGCATACCTCACAAACTCCCAAGATACAGAAAAGTGCCAAAGGGGAAGGAAAAACCCCTGCCAAAGAAGTTTGACTGGAGGGACAAGAAAGTCATTGCAGAAGTGAGAAATCAGGAAACAGTAAGTCCTGGTGTTTTCCTTTCCTGGTTCTCAGCAGGTAGGCTGTAGAGCACAGGGAAGGTTTTTTAGGGAGCAGCTCTGCCTGAAGGCTCCTTGGAGCACTGGCACAAGAGTGGCCAGTTGAACATGCACAAAGTCATGTAGCGTTTTATGCAAAGCGGTATTAGACTTAAAAGAGTGAGGTGTAGAAGTTGTGCATTGAGAAACTGTAATATATTTTTTGATCTATTTAACTGAATCTCTAAACATTTTGCACCATGTGTGTTTCATATTTTTCTGAAGGAACCAAGGTAAGTTCAACTTGACCTTATCCCACCTGGAGAGGTGTAGGTTCTTTCCTGTTGTTTTTCTCCCATGACTGAATCCCCTTGGCTGGTCAACACCCACATCTTTACCAGTGAATTCTTCAGGTTCTAGAAATTATAGGAAAACTTACTAATGTGATTAAAAACTAATTTCACCCTGAGGCCACTTTTTTTTTTTTTCTTTTTTTTGGAAAATATATATCTCACAGTAAAAAGCATCCTCAGACCTATTGTCAAGAGCAAAAATTCATCAGGAAGGAGTCCTTAAAATAAGACAACTGTAACACATTTCTAGCATTCAGAGAGCAATATAGGGGGAAAAATAGTTCAGCATTTTAAATGGATCATAACATTTCTTCATTATTGCCTTAAAAACAGAGTTCAAGGATGATGTATTAAATGAAGAACATTGGAAGTCTCTTTTGCGTCTTTTTTCACCTCAGGCTTCAAAAACTGACTTAGCTTTCTCTGCCATTTCCTTTTTCTCTCTATCAGTGTGGAGGCTGCTGGGCTTTCAGCGTTGTAGGTGGCATAGAGTCTGCCTATGCAATTAAAAGAAACATCCTGGAAGAGCTCAGTGTGCAGCAAGTTATTGACTGCTCATACAACAACTACGGCTGCAACGGGGGATCCATCGTTAGCGCTTTGAGCTGGCTGAACCAGGTTTGAAACTCTTTCTAAAACTCCAAAAAGACTCCATCAGCTTCTCTATTAGCATTCTTATTTATTGGAAAAAAGTGATGGGGAAGCTGAAATGTTTTTTTAATGATGTGTGTGTGCATCTATGCATGCACATATGTGTCTGTGTATATGTATGTATGCTTATTCATTTAGTTTGGAACCAAGAGTGAATTAGTTAAAGCAGAATTGAAATTTGATTGGAACTTTATGGTCCATAGATTTTCTTGTGAGTGTAACAAATCAGTCCACTGGGGGCTGAAAATAATGTTCCTGGATTCATTTGCAGGCATACAGTACCAGGGTAGACAGTCACCTATGCATATGGCATTTTGTGGATTTAAAGCCCACATCCCACATCCAGGGAAAAGGAAGGATCTTGACATTCTCTTTTTTCAAGTTTCAGTAGTTTCTGTTGCAAGCACCTATGTACAAGTGTGTGTGGAAAACCTCAGAATAAAATGAACTGCATTTACCTTTGTTTCCCTTGCAGCCCAAAACATTGAAAATGCATTCAAAGTTTCTACTTCTAGTTGTTCCTAACACATTTCATTCAATTCAGTTCAAAATGTGTGTTAATAACTTAGATAAACAGAAGCATTTTAATATCTTTGAAATAAAAAGTACTCTCTCAAATTGCATTACAAAAATATTAAAGAATTCTTTAGTTTTTTGAATTAAAAAAAAAAACCAAACAGAATTTTAAAAAGTGTAATTCTACCCCTGAAGAGGTATTATTACCCATGGCTAATAACAGTCTAAATAACTTGTTTAAGTTTGAATATCAAGAACAACAGAGGATACTCACCTTTATTCCTCTGAAGTAAAATTCTCTCTTGCTTGGCAACAGAGGAACCACAAATGAATTAGGCTGAAGCTGTCACTGTCGTAAACATACTGTACTGCAGAAGACATTAAAATATAAAAGGCTGATGCATACATGAAGTACTAGCATGAGAATTACATGCTAAAAACAGAATTGGACTTTACTGTATTTTATATAACTTTTTGGGATACTTGTGCTTCTTGAACTGTCCCAAGGAGAGTATAATATTGTGTGTGGAAGTCATTCAAAGAGAATTACTAGTTCATCAGTGAACCAAATATCTGTGTCTTGAAATTGACAGGATTGCTTATGAGGATCCTTTAAACCCGAGTTGCCTTTTAAATGTTTCTTATTTAAAGATTTCTGATTCCCTTCTTAAGCTCAGTGAACAAGGAAACTAGAGATAGTAAATACTTCACAATGTGACATTATTACTTCTAATCTTGCCCAGTGCACATTGAATTTTGATTGGGTTATATGGTCATTCCCTGTATGTTTTGAGCTGAATAGTAGTAAAGTCAAATGCATTAAATTCTTATTCAATTACCTTCTTACAGACAAAAGTAAAACTCGTGAGAGATTCAGAATACACTTTTAAAGCTCAGACAGGACTGTGCCATTATTTTGAGCGCTCAGATTTTGGAGTTTCAATAACAGGATTTGCTGCATATGACTTCAGGTAGCTATTATTCATTCTTTCCTTTTGCTGTACTTTTCCTTCTGTGTTCAGCAGTCATGGAGTAAGGTGGAGTGAATTGTGCATTGACCAGGCAAAGGTTGTGAAGCTGATAGCATAATTCTGTAGCTGTGTGCTGGAGAAGGATTAATGCAGAAAAATCTTTGGGAGTTAAGGGTTGCCACAATGAATCCACTCAACTGCCATCACTAAGCCTGTTCAAATGAAAAAGCTTGTGTCTTGAAACTAGGTCTTCTAAATTGCCTGTAAACTGGAACATAGAGTCAGTTACAGTTTTTAATATATGAACATTACACTGCATTTGTCAGAAACAGTAAATCCTACCAAAAGTAACTGGAATTTATTGAAAAAATTAGGAAGCATTCAGTTACTTCACTATTCACGCATTACATACCTATCCACATCCTCTCCCCTCCATTACTTTAGAAACAGCATTGTCAACTGAACTCTAAAAACTTCAGCTTTTTAGGTTTGTCCATGAAGAAACTTCATTTCTAATTTTTATCAGTACAGTACAGCTACTGAATAAAGACAAGTATTATTCTGACTAGGAACTGTGTTACTTCTAGATATAAGTAACTAAAATAAATCATATCTTTGCCAGTCCTTATTTGCCAAATTTAGTTAATGAACATATCATGCAGTGATGAAAATTTCTTGCTCCAGTATATTAGATAAATAAAGCTGTATGAGGGTGCTAATGATAAATGTCTGATAATGGAAATGTCCTGTGTTTTGATATGTTTGAGACACATACTTCAGTGTGCTATTATGTTAAGAGGTACTTCTGTAGGTTTAAAAAACAGTAGGAAGTTCTAATATAGACTAATGGTTTGTTCAAAGCTGGATTTGATTGAGAAGAGTGATGTACAAAAAGTATGTGGAGCTCTCCATTGCCTGCTGGCTTGACCTAGAAACCTGCTGCTTTTTAATAGCATTATGTGTTTGGATCTACACTTGTACCATAGTTTGTGTGTCCTATATTTGTATCACTGTGTTGTATATTAAGTACATAATTGCTGATGTGTGTTACGGGATATGTAGAACTTGGAGGACAGAGTTTAATTATTTGATTTTTAAACTGTTCCTAACAAGTTGATGATAATCACTCTAATCACTTCAGTGTGCTAACTTAACTTGGTATTTTTACTCACTTCTTTTGCAGTGGTCAAGAAGAGGAAATGATGAGGATGCTTGTCAGTTGGGGCCCTTTGGCAGTGACAGTTGATGCCGTGAGCTGGCAGGATTATCTCGGTGGAATCATACAATATCACTGCTCCAGTGGAAGAGCAAACCATGCTGTTCTTATCACTGGTTTTGACAGAACAGGTGCGTTTCCACCAGCTGAACTTCAGCACAGTAGGTTTCTTTTACTTGAAACTTGACTTTTGGGGGACAAGTGATTAAAACCCAGAACTCAGGTTTGGCGTCACATCAGTTCTGGAAGTTCTGTGAAGATCACGTCATCTTCACATCAGCCAGAAGAAAAACTCTTTTTGTCATTGCTTCTTCAGTTCTGTGGGACTTCATCCTTGTGAAGTCAAGACCATGGCTCTGTTTGTCTTTATTCTAGAAGAGCCCAAATCCAGTCTTCCCATACCAGAATATTAGCTCTGTTATCTATGTGAACAACAGTAGGTTTCACTGGCCTTTATCATCAATCCATCAGAAACTGTGGGTACTGAAATGCTAATTAAATCTGTGGAATGTTAGGAGGCTAAAGCTTCCCAAGTCTCATGTTGTCTCTTGTTCATGAAATGTCTCTTCCAGGTAGCATCCCTTACTGGATTGTACAGAACTCTTGGGGACCGACATGGGGAATAGATGGCTACGTTCGTGTAAAGATAGGCAGCAATGTCTGTGGTAAGTCTGGCAGAAAGTATGTGGTAAAGGCCATGGGCTGGGATATGTTTCTCAATGGCTATAACAAATTAATATAATGATAATATAATATATATAATAACATTATAAAGATATAATGAGATCCTCAAAGAGGCAGTGAAATCAATGCTATGTGTTAAAGGAGGTTAAACGAGTCCAGATGGAAAATGAATAAAGTGGTTGCTAGTTCAACTGAGCCATGTCGTTGAATGATTGAAAAGCACCATGTAAAGGCAAATCTGTATAACACAAAACAAATAATCTAAGTATTGTTGTCCCTTACCATGCAGAAGTAATGGCATTGTAGAATACCCAGCCATGTGTGATGGTTCTAGGTGGGTGCCATCGCTGTACTCCCTGTAGGCAAAACAGCTGCTGTCCTTGTCAGATGGGGTGCCATTATCTCTGGGCTCAGTTTAGCAAACAAATACAGAAAGCAAATCTACCTGGGAATTGTGTTCCCTGCTCTTGTGGCTTTTCTTGAAGGACAGAGATACATCCTTTTAGTGCTAGTTCAACCTCCTGCCCCATTGTTGTTTGCAGTATTTTTTTTCTTTGTGTTTGAGGGATTTCTGTAGAATTAAATACCCAGTTTCTGCTGGATATGGAGATAAGGCAAGTCAGACACCCATTTATCATCAGATTGCTGAACCAAATTGGTGGGGTATTTCCACTAGATAGGAAGAGTTGCATATCTGCTGTAATTTTGTGTGTTAGAGTAACCCCCTGGGTTTCCCTTCCATGTGTTTCACAGCAGCTCTCAGTCATTGCACGAGGTGTTAGATTACCTAAGTCTTCTTCACATTAAGAACAGACAATATTCAGTTTGCCTGCACTTAGTAAAGATCCAAGCAATGTGTCCAATCATAGGTTTCTCATGTTACTGAATCTTTGTTCTTACTGTTGTTGTTGTTATATAAACAGTTTGGAAAGAGAAATTTAGAAGTAGTGATAAAGCAAGTCAATTATAGAGATGGCAGGGAGAACAGAAGTGTTATTTTCAAAACCTATTCTTTCAAAAAGCAGGATCTTTCACATTTTCAGTAGTGTACCACGCAAGAACAATCCAGCAAAGGACAGTAGTTGTTCATTTTCCCACAGAGATGTTGTCTTCTGATTTAGAGGTGCTCTGAGACCACCAGGAAATAAAATTTTGAACATAAAAGCAGAGGAAGGAGGAGAGAGGAAGGAGGAGATTAGGTTTCAACTATACACAGTGCCAGGTGAGGAAGAAATAAAAGGGTTGCAGATGATTCCCTGATTTCCTACAGTCATGGCATGGAGGGGAGAGGGCATTACATGAATATGAAGTCTGGGAAGTCTCCAGTATTTATTAAAAGCAAATTTTACTTGACAAATTTTTCCTTTCTAGGTATAGCAGATACAGTTTCAGCAGTATTTGTTTGACATTTCTCTGGGCCTCTACAACTGGTCAAAGACCACAAGTATCTTGAGGACAGACACTGTACATGAAGATGAAATTCAAGACACCAATTTCAAATATAAGAAATGGCTGTAAGGGCAATTCCTGCAACTCCTGGCTGAAGTTTTTTAAAATGGTTTTATTTGGAATTTGTGTTGAATGCCAAATTTCTCATGGAGCAAGAAGACTCAACTGCAGAGTCCACAAATAGAAGTTACAAAGATGGACTGAAACTATGTAAGCTTTATCCAGGTATTGAATACTACTCCACAGAAAAATCTTAAAAGGAAAGAAATTATGACAAATTAGAAGAAATTTGGATCAAAAAATCAATAGTATAAGAGTATATTTGAAATTATTTGAATATAAGAATCATGAGTAACAGTTTAGAAAGAATTACAGAATATATCCAATAGAGTGAGTGTTAAATTTTCCTCCTTAATTGAGTTCAGAGGTGGGACTTGCTGGTAATAAAAAGGGGTTCCAGCTTTGCTGAGCTGTGAAACTGCAGCTGTGGCCCAATGTTACTATAACTCACAATAAAACATGAAATTCTAAAATGTTCTGAATTTTTCACCTGGAATGCTTTACCTGTATCTTCTAAGAAGGCCTACTAAGAAAAGTACTGAACCAATTCTGTAATTTTTGCATTTAATTACTGTACCATGTTTTTAGATTAGCTTTTTATAACCTTTCTATGACCAATGCAATGAGTATTTATAATTGTTTATTGTTAAGTGTTGCTATTTTAGTCCTTCTAATTGTTAGCATTTTAAATTAAAGGAAGATCAAGTATGATGTTTCTTTACTTCAGGTTTTTGCTACTTAATTTATTTGGCTGAAAACTTCAGTTCTAAAAAATGTCAAGTCTTCTGTACTCTGAGTGTTGTGTAGTCTGGCCTTCCCTGAGTGGCTTACAAATCAAACAGCACACTTCCATAACTGGAAAACAAAGTCCCTAGTGGGCATGGATAAGAGTAATGTAGTCATAGAAATATGAAACACAGATGTGCCTCAAGTATTTTTGAGGTGCTACTGCCTGTGGTAGAGAACTTACCAGATTTCCAAAGGAAGCACTTAAAAAAACAAAAGTCAATTTAATGAGAAGATGACACTCTTTTATTGATATTCTATAGCCAAAGTTGCCTTATATTGTATACCAATCTGAATAAAAATCACTTTAATGCCTGTCATACTCTTGTTTGAAATTTATAGTTTGTTTTGGAAGACTTAACAAAAGATGATTCTTGATGCATTACAAATTCAGGATGGTTTGGTTGCTATAGATTCAGAACTTACTTTTTGAATCTATTTTTTGAAATTTTTAACCCAAAATTCCTTTTGAAATTGCACTAGAGCTCAGAAACAAATAATCTTCTGAAGGTGATGAGGCTGATTATATCCTCAACTAGACATAAATTAGTAACAGCCATTAGGCAAACAAGAAAATACAAAAATATGTACAAATAAGTCATGATCATAATAACTGTAGTTTTCTCCTCTAGGTGTAGGCTTTAAGAAACCAACTAAGAGTTAAATTGGTCATGGGTTGAATTGGGGGTATCATTTTACTCTTAACATTGGCTAACTCAATACAGATTTATTTTTTCTACAAGCAATTAATTTCTTCCACAAGGTATTTGTACTATTCACAAAGCTGACATACATAAATACATATTTACACACCCACACTCCTTGTGGGAATGTCTGGGAGCACCACTCAAGGTGAAAGAGTCAGGAAGTTCTTTACAGCAACCAGCCTAGAAAGGCAGTCTAGTCAGAGTCATCACTGCTGAAGTAGGAGCTGTCACAGTATTCTGCTGTGTAAAGGAATTTATGAATGCTTGGGTTCATCTTTGGTATCCAGTGTCTTGGCACTAGAAATGTTGAAAGATTGAACAAATCCACAAACACTTTGTACCTGTCACTGAAAAAGACAATTGGAACAATAATTCCATCAGCATAGAAGGCCATAATTCCTAAATCCTCAGTAATCATTCTGTCTTGTGCAAATAATAAGACTCCTTGCACAAACCCTCCTGCATTTTGCAGAGCAAGAATCCTGTCCTAACTTTCTAGGGTACAGCAGATCAGGCTTGATAGGGATCTGTAGTAACATCTTTCTTCTGAAAATGCTGAGTCCATAGGGTGTGATTTCTAATACAATTTGTCTAGGAACAATAATGCTAACCCAACACTAAGGAAGAGTGGGAGAGCTTTCTAAAAAAAGACATGAACATCTCAAATCCTCAACATCAGCCTAAGCATCTGCTTTCTACTCTACCCTCTGTTCATTGGTTGTGATAGTAGTTGATCACAGCACTACAGGGTGGTTCACAGCTCTTTGAGAGCTGACCTCCCAGAAGATCCTCTTTTAAGGAGGTTGTGCAATTAGAGGTCATGCCAGGGAATAAAGAAGCTCAGTTACAAACACAGTAGCTGGGGCTCACTTCCAGCCTGTGCTTGGGTTAGCTGGCAGGCAAACTGAACAATGTAGGGTTAATATTATTGCTATTAACGCCTGGACCCCTCGAGTGAGAATTACAGATGACACTTTCTGCGAGTGATCAAAAGGAGTTCTTTTTGCCCTAGAAGGCTTGGAATTTATATGTCATAGATAAATAAATGTGCAACAACCAAGGGGAGATGCTAGAGTCCCAGAAGTCAGCATCCCTTTGAGCCATCTGAAATACATCTCCCAGCATTAGAGTATTTATGAACTGCATTATAGAAGGTAACAGGGGAAACACATCATTTCTACCTCACTGTTGAGCGCAAATAGTGGTAGCCTGATGAGCCTCCAGTGCCAGCCTTGCTGCCAATCATTCTGTGCACCAAACAGACGTGGTTATCTAAATGATACAACGGGAGAAAATGGCACATAATCAGTATTTAGATATAACTAACGAGTCACACTTACTAAAGGTCTTTATCTTTAGGGATACAGAGCTACTAGGTCTCCAGCAATGCAGGAGTTAATTCTGCCATTCTTCAGTCAATTAATACAAACTTATTGTTAATTCAGAATGAACACATTAATGATTACACATTACTATGCTCTGTTAATACAGAATTATACATTCACTCATGTATGTCTAGATAGGGAAGGAGGCAGAAAGTTTGTGCATATAAAGACATGACATTAGGACTTTTTGGGATAAAATGAATAATAGATACCTGTCCCTTAAATAAGATAGTGCACTTAAAGCAGGTCATAGAAGTGGTAGCTATGTCTATGTCTCTAATGATCATAGAAGCAGCTCTTTATCTTTCCTCTTGGCTGAAGTACAAACAAAAATGTCATTCCTAAAGCAGGAACTCCAAAGCTCAGTTCTAAGACTGGGTGGAAGTCAGAACAATTTATTTGCATCTGTAAGAGGGAGTGTTACAGTCCAAAATGTCAAACTTACATCTCCACTTAGTCATGAGCACATCAAGATCCATAAGGGAGGTAAGAAGCTGAAAGGGAACCTGGAAACGAGGCTCCTCCCTTGGAAAATGAAAGAGATGACAGTGAGACCTCTCATAAACTGTATTTTTCAAATATTGCATTTCACCAGTGCTTAGTGACTTAAAGTATACTTTTCCTAAACTGGTACTGAAATATCAGTAGTTATTTTAACAAATGCTTCTGTTGTGTAAGTCTCGATCTGCCGCTTTATTTCTGAACTTGGAAAAGGACTCCAGATCTTTCTAGGACAGGCAGAACAAGGCATTTACTAGTTACAATCTGAGAAGCAGCATCTGGTCAAGCAAGGATCAGCTACCCAGAGGGGATGCGGAACCTCGATCCTTGGAGATACCCAGAACTCAGCTGGACGTGACGCTGAGGAGCCTGGTCTGGCCTTCGAGCTGTATCTGAGTAATCAGGGTTCCTGTGGAGGGCTGAAATAGATTGCTTCCCACAGCCCATTCCAGCCTGAACCTGCTGCTCTTCTCAACCTTCACCTCTCCTCCTGCCCCAAAGACACATCTTACAACATTACCTGTAGAAGTAGATCATCAAGGCCCCCTTCAGTGCTTTGTAGGACAGCCGTCTCTCTCCTGCAAAACAGAGGTGTCCTTAGTTTGTTGCTCATTCTCCTGCAACTTTAATGCTATAACAAACATTAATAAGTAACATGTATAAAACATACAAAGTGCATATTGACATACAGTAATATAATCTACCTTTACTGAGCAGATGTTCATGGCGTTTTTCATCAAATAATGAAAGTAGTACATCTCTCTGTTTTTGAAATTCAGACAATAAGTCATCTTTCTCCTCTGATTCTGCTTTGGCCTTTGGTATTTAAAACAAAGACAAATTTTAGAATTCAACAGGGAAAATTAAGCACTTGTATGATTCATCATGCAACTTTTATTTAAATAAACACTCTGAAATTTGCATCTTAGATGTAAGAACTGTATTTTCAAATACAATATATGAGTCACTGTCCTTTGAAAAGTACAATTACCAAGAATAGGTACAATTAAATAGATTCCAACACAACTCAGATAAATGAATATTTAAACAAACTGGCAATTTATCATATTTTTTTTGTCTAGAGGTCTTAAACAATTTAATAGTAATTTTTTTGAAGTCTGATTTATTTGTTTTCAAGACAAAAAAGATTACATCTTTGCTGAACTGTGGGCAAGAAAACTGTAAATAAAAGAGTTTAGATAAGTCATAAACAGATATTCTCAGGAAGTTGATAAATTCTTATTTTTTTTCATTAAAAATAAAAAATGAAATATTATTTAAAGCTGCAGGTCTTACAGTAGTCAGAGATTTTCTGGTGTTTATCTGCCAGTGCAATTCAAATGATCACATAGCAGCAAATTGCCATATACTGTTAAACAGAAATGGGCTGTTAATAGTAATGTTCCATATCCACAGCTCAGGGGCCCAAACCTCATATTTACTCTAGACTGCTGATGCAAGTACTAACTAAAGCTGAAGTTGTAGTTTCAGTAAAATCAACTTCAGCTCTTCCATTGATACTAATCCATCCTTTTTGCAATCCAAATAACCCATGTATCTCATGCTTCAAATTGTCTTAGATGTCAAATTTTAAAAAAATATTCCTATTTCCTGAAGGATTTGCAATTTTTTCTGTTTCGTGCAGACAAAGACTGATAAAGATTAAGTGAAGGGAGTGAGAAACTTTGAGTAAGCCAAAACATAAATTTATGTCAGAATATCATTTTGCCAGATGTCTTTGCTTATAGGTAGTTCAAAAGTACACTATATACCTGTATCAAGGCAAATTCCTCTTCTAGGCCTTTTAAAACATTCTCTTCAAATTGTCCCCAGAAATCAAATTCTTCTGCATCAAGTCCTGGAGTTCTTTCCAGCCATGCCTTTAATAATAGTAATAGTAGTAGTAGTAGTAGTAGTAGTAGTAGTAATAATAATAATAATAATAATAATAATAATAATAATTTCAAACAATAACAATGCAACTGCGTTATCCTAGAATTGCAAGTTACATTTCTGGTTTAGTATCCTGTAGAAGTGCTCATTGCTAAATTCAGCATGACCATGTGGATGATTTACACCTCCATAATGGTGCCACACCAGCCCTCTCAGGTTCCAGATTGCATGGCCAGTGTTGGAAGACAGAAGCTGTCTCATTCTAAGGATATCTTTAAAACAAACTACAGAAAAAGAAATCTTATTCCACATATATATAAACAGGATAATAGTAATGATCAATCTCAGAAGGAAGACATAGAGCCATCCATAGTTTTTAACCTCTGATAGCCATCACTAAAGTGGGACTATTTTTAAAGTTTTCCTCCCAAAAGGGCTTATAGTCATGAGAAACAATGCACATGAGACAGTGCATTTACATTATTAGCTCACACTTCCACAATGCAATTTAGCATTTTTCAGACAAAAGGGAGATGCTGTGAAAAATCCCTTGGTTTACCAACAACTAACTCCCTTTCATGCCAAACTTGTCAAGACTCCAAAACACAATTGACAGAGAATTTGCCAACATGCTTGTTTCTCTTAAGGTAGGAGAATTTGCCACTGACTAATGAAGGACATTCCTGGGAGATGGGGGAAATGAAGCAAGATCCAAGACAGACATTGTTACCTCCACAAGTTGCAGTAGTGTTGGTTCTTGCTCTGATTGAAGCAGTAGTTCATGATCCTGTCCCTTGAAGTTATCACGGTAATGCCTTCTGTTATAAGGGACTCTCAGACTTTGGGGAACACCAATCTTGTTCTCTAGCAAGCGAAACTGCAGGCTCTGAAAACCTGAGGCTGGGCTTAGGTGGTATCTTTGGGAACAGAAGAAAAGAAGATACAAAAAATGCAGGATGTTATTTTACAATGGTGGATTTCTCTTGTTCTCAAAAAAATCCCCCATATTTCACATCTGAAGAATATCAAATAGCTATCTGAGGATCTTTTTATATGATTGCATTTCAGAAAAGGAAAAATACCAAGCAATTTTAATGCAACTGTATTGTACCTATAACATAATCTCATTTTCTCCTTCTATATTGTTTGTGCATACACAGGTAGTACAAACCTAAGTGTATGAATTTGTGCTTTAAAACAGCAGCTTTGTGCATTTGATGTACAGGAGGCAATGCTAGTAAATATAATTTCCTTTCCAAACAGACTAAGGAGCTGCACCCCAAAAAGCTGTTACAAAAATTTTCACAGCAATAACGTGCCAATGAATGCATTTTAAATAGTCTTGATATACAGCATAATTCCTATATATTATTACATATAATAGTCCATACATGCAATATATACATGTGCAATATTGCATATTGCCTTATTTTATAGAGTAGAATAATGCTCAGAAAAAATTCCAGTGGGTTTTTTTGGGGGAATCATTAATAGGAATCTTAAGAGTTAATTCATCTGACCATGCCAAAAAACTATTAGCAATAAAAGTAACCTGAAATCCCGCATTGCTAGATAATTGTAATGTGTTTTGAATTTCAAATACCAGATTTGACAGAGACACATCACTGATTTAATCTTATGTTTCCTTATCAAATGACAGAAAAGATGAAGCAAGTATGGATCAAAATTAGCCCATGGATTTCCCCTGCTGTAGTGTAATGCTAGATTCAAACAAGTGAAGAAAAATTGTGGTTTCCCACTCTTTTTAATAGGGAACATTAAAAGATAGAAGGGAAAGGGTACCAAAATACAGAGGTGGATGGGATTCTGGATGGCACTGAGGTCACAAAGCAGACAGATATGCACAAGTGACACAAGCAGGAGAAGAGCAGGGAAGGCAGCCAGTGGATGAAAGTGTAACACATGGTGGTGTGGTGGAAGGACCTAGATGTAGTGAAGGAAGAGAAAGAAATGCCATGGGAGAGGTGAGACAAACCAAAGGACCCCAGAGAAAACCTGTGCAGAAGGCAGAAGAGGTACTCACCATCCAGCCCAGCAATACATTGAGCTGCTACTGGACAGCAGAAGTTATTGGGGGAAAAGGGCAAGGGACAGCAATGCTTACTTCAGCCCCTTAAAGCCTCCAGCACTGCACACCCAAGGCAACACCCTGCAAACCAGGACAGCTGAAATACCCATTTGATAATCTAGAGAGAGTGCATTGTCTCTCCCCTAACCACTTCTATGATTTGCCATAGAACAAGGCTTCAATCTGCAGGGCCAGGTTTCAGCTAAATTGCTAAGAGAACCATGAGCTATTTCTGCTGTTTCAGCTGTTTTAACTTTTGACCCTGAGACCAGTCAGCAGCACCCTACACAAAAGTGTCAACAATTCACTTGTCCTTCTTCATAGAACATGCTGGACTCACAGTCAGGGTCAATTTCATAACTGACCCTTGCACTTTAATGTCATGTTTGCCTCTCCAAGGTGAGCTCTCAGCTTGCTGACAGACACCAGCACACATACAAAATTCAGTCAGTTCTAAGGATGGGAATTACCAGCTCATGGATTGCTGAAGAGGAATACAAAGTCTTTACCTGAAATCAAAGAAGTCCAATGCAGTCATAGTTTCCAAAACTGAGAACTGTTCCACAAGTAATTTCAGAATCAGTGAAATTCTGTTCATTCGAGTAATAACCTTCAGCATGTTCCTCTCATCTCTTACCTGTAGAAAAAGTAAAGATCATAACCAGAATGGTGTTTTCTCTAGATCTTACCTAGTTATATCATGACTTTTCACTGTTGTATATCACTTTAGTTCCCAAGTCCTTCCCATGTGAAATCCATAGAGGTAGAATCTCATATGCAACAGAGCACTCTGATTTTAACTTAAAACTGAAACTCTAATTTTCAAAGATAGAAATCTGTTTTTTTCTGACCAATGTTACATTACAGGTAGGTCTATCATACAGGGTTTTTTTCTTTTCTATTTTTTTTTACTAAAATAGAAGTCAAATAAATTAAATTCTACAGCAAAATAATTTATAATTTCCAATATTTACCATATCATTGTAACTTAATATTATATAATATGAAAATTAAATATTTTCCATACTGATTACTTCTAGAATAATTTCTATTATTGTGCTATTCTACAAGCCAAAGTTATGGAAATTACTTAAAAGCTGAGAAGGTAAATAATCTAACAGCTACATCAGGAGAGCAAATCTAAAACATGTTCATCAGAAATGTGCATTAGCAAGCAGAGAAGAAAAGACTACATCTGGTGGGAAATAGAAAATATTAAATGGAGAATAGAAAAGTTGGTTGGGTTTTTTTTGCTAAATTAAACTCTTTGCCTGCAGAAGAGTCTGCTAAAATTCCTTTCAGTCTCAATGGGATTAAACATCTCTCTAAAATCTGGGCAAGCAACCAGGAAATATCAAACTACAAAAAATGGCAGATGATAATCATTTCCCTAATTTCTTGGCTCTGTACTTGACCTTAATATTGGCATTTCAAATTCTGATTACAGGTAAGACTTAATTTTTTACCAAAAAAATGTAAAAAAAATTAAAATATTCTTCTTAAGGACTTATTGTGGTCAGTTATAATTTGATAAAATATTAAACTAAAAAGCCAATGAAATTAGGAATATAGTGGACAACACAGAACATTTTCACTGGACCTTATGAGAAGAAGGTTTCTTCTTTCAATTTGGTCTAATTTCAAATTTTCTTCATAGACATATGCTAATGATGTACTCAAGGTATTTCTCAAACTGCATGCAGTCAGATTTTAGTAACAATTCAAGAGTTTTCCATTCTTACCTACTGTTATAATATAATGAATGTGAAGAGTTGCTTATATTTGTAATTTTCAGAAATTCTCACACAGTATTTCACTGCTTTGGATTCTTGCTTCTCTGTTGGATTTACTATTACACAATCACAAAAGTGAGTTCTCACAGCAGAAATTGGATGGAAGAAGATAGTATATCAACTTCAGAAACTGAACAAAGGCAGAAATTACTTTTCAACATAAAAATACCTCTGCTTTTCAGTTTTGTCTCTGAGCCTGCTTTTCTGCAGTAGAATATTTCCAGCCTAAGTTTCTGTAGTTACCCAGCACTAGCAGGAGAGTATTAGCACCTTTTGGCCAACAGAATTGGCCTTGGAAGGTGATCTGCACAAAAAGCATACTTCAGGAGGAAATAAGATTTGGCTGATCAAAAATCTGTACTATCAGGACATAAGAGCCACTCAGCCAAATTTTATTTGGTTTTTGATGCTGTTTCTAAAAAGAGCACATGTTGCTTTAGTAAACTCAAGTATATCAGACTAAGAGGCAGGAAGCAAGATAAAATCAGGGCTGAATTTTCCCAAAATTAGTAGTTGTCCTTAACTTACGTGACCATTTTGAAAGATCACTCGCACAGAGTCCATTTCCCACAAAATCTGCTTAAACCAAAGTTCATATGCTACAAAAAGAAAGAAACTGTTAGCATCAACTTCAAGGTTACTTTGTTCTTCTTAGCACCAAGAAAGAAAAATTCTTACATGTTTGTTTGAAATGCATGGCCTACACTGACGCTGCCAGTGCACAAGAAGGTGCTGACATGTACACTTATTACCTGTTACAGTATTCTGTCCTTTACCTAAAGTGTTAGCCAAAATATTCTAGAATCGAGAACACTGACAGGGTATTTTAAAATAGGTTTTGCACATCAGATATTTGATCTACAGATTGTTCATTACAAAAAGAGGAAAGAGAAAATCCAGACCTGATACTTCAATAACATGTAACTCCACACCTGCTTACACTCTACGTGTTTTCTGTCAATAATATAAAATATCATCAGGCCAGGGCCTGAAAAACAGGCAGATATGGACATTGGGGAGTGCCTAACTGGTGAGCTGATTGGTAAAAGGATTCTAAATGGTTAAAACTGAAGTTTCAGAGGAGGCACAAGGCAACACACAAAATTTGCCAAAATAACCTGCATAGCAGCCTGTTGCTTGGACAACACCAACATTTTCACCACCTTAATTTCTCTAGGAATAGAACCATCCCTATCTTGCTTTACCAAATCCAAAGATTATACTTATGGTTTCACAAGCATAGTGTTGATTATTGGCTTACAATTTATAAGAATTGTATTTATATACATATTTATATAAATATATAAATATTTATATAATATTAATAATTCTTAACTATATATATTTTATATATATATATAAATATATATATATATTTAAGAATATATGCACATATAAAAAACAGATAAAAGACAGAGCTATTGCTGTGCTAGTGTCTAAAATGAAAACAAATAGTGTACTGCATGTGTCAGCACCAAATAACTCCCTGTGGCAAACTGTTGGTCAACCACCACTGCACTCCTCCACTTACCTTGATGTGTCACAATGAAAAGATGCTCATCGTGGATTTTTTTCCCTTTCTTCTCACTCTCAAGTTCTTGAGCATTCAATATTTTGTTCAGCTTAAAAATAAAGGTAAGAACTCTTCTGTAACTCAATTCTATTAGTAATGGCAGTCTTACTGTGTACAGCTAATTTTTAAGAAGAATATTTTTTTAAAATGCACATACAAACCTCACACCCCAGGTTATATGAGAAGTTTGACTCATTTGTCTCAGGTATGACTTTTACTTTTTAATTAGAAAAAATCTTGCCTCAAATAGAACATTTACTTACCTCAAGTAATAAAGTTTTGAAAATAAGTTTAAGGGTAATTTCAATTATATATATGCCTATATATAGTAAAAAAAAAAGAAAGAGAAAACAAAATATCCAGCATGTTGTCCAGATTTTAGGAACTATTTCTATTTGTTTTATATTTTACTATCTCTTTATACCATTGTGTCACATGAAAACAGAGTTCCTATAGTAAAATTCTGAGTAATCTTCTGAGTAATCAAACAACATCAGCATAAGAGCTCTGATTTGAGGCAGTAATAATAATTTCAGTTCTGAAATGAATAAATTATTTTCCTATTCAAATTTACAATCTAATAATAGCTGTTTTCAAATAAATCCTTGCAAGATTCCTAACAGTAGATCAACAAATCAGTTCACAAGCATAGAGTAATTCCCCTCACTTTGGTTCATGCTGTCCAAAAAAACCAACAAACCAATTTTTTTATTACATATGGCATTTTATTTTTACTTATTTCTTAATTAATTCTAGTTTTTTGCAGTTTTTGTTGTTTTATATGTTCCCTCCAGTCATCATCCTACCCCCTAAATTTCTGAAATATCTTTTTCCAGGCAAGTATTCTGGACTTTCAAGGACATTGTACAGAGCCTTCTGGCATGCAGAAATTGCTGAGTGATTATTATCAAATAATTGGCCAAAGAAAGCTTTTTGTGGTGAGTCACTTTACAGTTTAGGCTTTCCAACATGGATAATTCCCTACCAACCCCCCAAAATATCTGTCTTCCTTGCAGTTTGAGAAGCCTTTCCACAGTCCACCCTGAGGTGCCAGGTGAGACGGGCACCTGTGCCTGTATCACCTGGAGACCTGTCTTAGTAGGTCTGCAGGGAGAAGTGTCACTCCCAGGTCACTCAAGCTGAAAGAGCAACCAGGACAGCAAACATGGAATCCTTAAACTTACTTGTAGGTATTCTCCATAGATAAGCCCACCTTTGCTGGCTTTATTTATTCCTTCTTGAGATTTGTCATCATTGTCATCTTCCAAAGACAGCTTGTTAAAATTAAATCTAAGAAGAAAATAAAGTAAATCTATAAAGTATTTAATTAAAGAATTATTAATATACCTGCCTTTTTACTAATAGATGCATCTACAATTCAAACAGTGTTTTATGTTGATAAACAGAACCAGTAAAGCAGGCTTTTGATAAAAACTGAAATTCCTCTTGTCCCAGTAGCAGCTGGTAGCATCACATTTAGTTCATCCAATAACAAGTACTCAGATGAGCCCTTGTATGATCTCTATTTATTTAGCGATAGCTACAGCTGTCTATTTGTTGATAGCAAGTAAATCCTCTCTGAGATTTCATATTTTGCACTAACACTTTATCATTTAATTGAATTTATAAAGCAAAACACAGAGAAGAAGGACTCACAGGTAATTCTTCCCCGCAAAGGGGCACTGGCTCATGATTTCCAGATCCAAACTCGCTGAGCTGCACACTGGGGAAAATACCCTGTTAGTGTTCCCAAACCTGCTGCAGCTCCCTTATATGTAGCCTTATCTCACTGCCAAGGCCAGCCCCCAAATTCCCCTCCTTAGCCCTCAGCCCATCCCCACTATTCAATAATTTCAGAAACTATCACAGCACAAAGGTCAGGAAGTTCATGTGTTGCTGGCTCTCCAGGACTGTGTTTTTCTCTGCCAGTTAAAAAATGAACGGATGACAAGCTTTTTTTTTTTTTTTGTCTTATGGCACAAACTTTTTGTGATTTTCACTAAAAGGTTTCCACCACTTGTTTCTTTGGATGGAGGTGTAAGGTGTAGTGTGTAAGGTGTAAGTCAATGAGAGGTCCATGTGTGATAAAAAGGCAATATTAATAAATGCAGGAATTGTTACAGTAGGTTTTTAACCTGAAGCCTTTTTTATCAGGATACTATTAAGTCTAAAAAATCAGACACATGGAAAGAGAGAAGGGGGGCAGGGGGGGAAGTGGAAAAACATGTTTTTATGGCAGACTAAATAGTGCTTATTCAAAGAGATTTCAAGTAATATATATAATTTCAAAAAATGTACACAGATTAAGTAAAGAACTAAAAGCATCATGAACCTCTCATGCTGGTTTTCCGAGTATTTAATTCAGAATAATTTCTTAATTTTATCTCTTTGCACAAAAGTTTCACTCTCATTTATTGACAAATGTTACTCAATTCTATCTGGTCATCAGCTTAACACACAATGAAGTAACATGTAACTAGCATACACTTCTTTTCTGCCTGCCAGCCCTTTCTGAAAAAAAAGTTAATGCTCAGTTTCACTGCAAACAAAACTACAGGACCTTTGTGACCCTGGATCATTTGCTCTCTGCAAGACTTTTTCTGCTTAGTGGTGTCTGTGTGCTGGTTTCAGCTGTTCCAGTCACTTAAGAGTAGTTTGCACATAAAAAAATGCAGATGTAGGATGTGGGTGATAGGATGGATAGCCTGTTCAGCCAGATGTCATTTGTCAGGCTTTACACAAATCACCTTAAAATTCAGTTGAGCCACAAGAAATGCAGGACTTCACTGAAGGAAACCACCAAGCAAGGTCAAGGAAGTTCTTCCTTCATGATGTAAAACCTGACTGAAGAAAATAATCCTCTCCTCTCACACACACCTACACATGTGCTCAGCGATGCAGGCAACTAGAGATGAAAGTGAAGACATCTGAAATTAAATGTTGAAAGCCCCTTTTCACATATTTGCACTCAAACAGTTTGATTTACAAATGTGGAAATCTTGCACATCCACAGATCTCAAAAGAAAAGGAAGGTTTATCTTGTCATTCCTGTATATCTTCACCTGAAACATCCAGACTGAGCCTGCATAATGAAATCAAGCTGTTATCTTGTCTCATGACACAAGGAAAGAATGTGAAAGTAGTAAAAATAAGGACAGTTGAAAGATATTGAACGTTTAACCTCACAAAATATGTTAATGTGTGTTTTCTTGTGCAGTTTTATTTTCTTCTGTAGAATACAGAGAACAATAAACTTCCAGTGCAATGATCTCAGACTGGCAACCTTTACATTGCCTACCCAGTGGGCAAAGGACTTTGAAGTATCAGAGCCCTTTTACACTGTGTACCTAACAAAACATTAACTCCCTATTTGGGAAGTAATAGTACCATTAATTCACTCAGGGTTAGCAAACTTACTTGAAATCTAGCTGGGGATACTGTCTAAGCAACAACTATACAAACTCCCCTTCTGATTCAGCAACAGACAGGCCTCAGTCAAACAAATAAATCAGCCAGACAAGGGCAATTTAGAAAGTTTTTTCCAGTGTTTTCAGCATTTCAAACTTCTCATTTAAGGACCTCAGAGCTGATTGGTCCCAAAGCTATAAACTGACCAATTCCTGAAAAACTGGGCAATAGTATGGGTAATGTTTGCATTCATTTCAGATGAATATTTGCATTCATTTATGAAAATTTAATTTCACACTAGCTGAATTCAGCTCTCTAACCATTGCAACTACAATGGACCTCAAAGCCTCCAAGATCAATGGAAAAAGATGTCTCAAGGACCTGAAAACCCCTGAAATAAAACAGACCATTCTTTCCTCTTACTGGCTACCTTCATCTGATCTCAGTAAGGCTTCAAAGTGTGTAATGAACTTGGTAGTAAAATAATTTAAGTGCCTTGTATGACCTGATTCTGAAACTGTCTGTTGGCAGTGTAGGAGACAGCACAGCTCACAAAAGCCCTCTGGTTTGGATCAGATCAGAGCCTTGAACTCTGGCATGGCTGCAGACACCCTTTGACATAAATGTACTTCTGCCATGCTGCTCAAATTTGGGGCTGATTTTTATTTGAGTGTCCTTTATATCCTGACAGAGATTTACAGCCACTTTGTCATCTCTCCCTACTAGCATAATCATAAACAAATCTTGATGAAAAAAGCTCTCCAATGTGAATGTATCTGAAAGCAAAACATGACCTTAATTTTAAATGATGGTATTGTTTTTTTTCACAAAATGTACCTTCATTTCCCTTTTTCATGTTCAACACTTAGAACCACAAAGATCTAACCACACACATAACTTGCTGTTCATGCTGCAGATGACTGAGCAAGGCTGTGAACACCAAGAGTGCCTTTGAGCTTTTATTTAGTTATTTATTTACTTTTAATGCATGAAAGTCAAATAAAAAGCCTTCTTTTCATCACAAAGGACCCTAACCTTCAGCAGACAGTGAGAATGTTCTGTTTTGTGACTGGGCTGAATACAAGACAAACAGTTACATACAGCAGGGGAAAAAAAAAAGCCAACTAAAACCCACAGCTTCCTAGAACTGCCCTTTGTGGCCTTCAAATGAATGGTCATGACCTTCATGACCAAGCATGGGAATTGTTAAGCACCCTTCTTAATTCACCCTTGCCCCCTCCACATTTACCTCCCCTTCCCCAGGTGGATGTAGGGTGGCTGGACTGGCAGCAATGGGGTTACAGAGCAGACTGAACTTACCTGGACTGAGAAAAGTGATTGATAAGGGCAAAAAGGGAGCCTCTCTCCAGCCTGGCCAAGGGAGGTTCAGTGTAAGGCAGAGGTGGCCTGCAGCATGATCTATGGATACAGCCAGAAACAAGAGTTTGCATGTTCTCACTGTGGGGCTCTCTGTCTGAAACATTATAGTCTGGTGAGGACAAGTAAGTAAGAAAGACCTTCTATGTACTGTCATGAATCAAAACAATGTATGAATTGAAAGCGGCCAGTTCACCCAAGCCAAATCTCAAGATTTCCTACATGAAATCGCTTATGGAGAGGAAAAAGTACACACACAGGTGGTTTGGACAGTGTCACTCACTCTACTGCTCAAACTGTCATTCTGATTACAAAATCATCACAAATCTATTTGTTTGTCTAACGTTTGCTAACTTGAAGAAAGAGCTCAGAGAACTTCTGACTGCAAACAAATGACGCTTGAAGCTTCCCAACACTCGTCCAACAATTGCAGACTAGGAGCTACACAGCACACATGGCTACCTATGTGACAATGCCTGCAGTGAGTCAAAGATCCAACTAGGTCATGCCATGCTGAAAACTTTCAAAGAGAAAGTAAAAGATTTCTTGGGAAGAGCTTTTAGAACAAAAGAAGCAAACATTAAAAAACAAAACAAAGCCCCATCAGCAGAAAAAAACCCTCCAAAACAAACAAACAAATAAACACCAACAAACTTTAAAAAGCAAGCTTACAAGCAAGCTGACAGTGCAATAATTTCCCCAGAATATTCATGTAGATTTCCCATTTTGATAGTCCAGGACTTCCTAAGTGTCCTTGCATTTAATAACCTTTTTGTAGATTCTGCGATTCCACAGCCCAAAGCAATGAGTTCCATAACTGAAATACATATCATGTGAAGGAGCATTTCCCTGTGCAAGTTTCAAACTGCCTGCCAAATAATCAAGTAATTTTCACTTCTGTTTGGTACTAATTCATGGCTAATGAGAAAGAGGTGCACTATACCTTTGTAGTCCCAGTCACCCTGTTCTGCATTTGTCCAGATTCTGCTGTGACCTTTGTGAGAGGAAGTACCGAAAAGGAAAATATCTTTTCTACCTATAGATGTTGCATTTTTAATCTCATAAAATTATAGTGATGAAATGATTTTGATAACAAACACACAGCTATAATAGGGAAATACTGTACAGCAGCTACTGTTTTAGATGACAAAGTGCAACTCAAATTGTAGAGGTGAAGTCCCCAGTGTCCTAAGCCAGAACCTCACTGTGCTGGCTATTCTGCCAGCACTGAACAAAAATTACTTCCAGTTTAATAACATAACAAGAGATAACTGAATAAAGACACATAAAAGGATGGTGAAGTGCAGAAGATAAACTTGGAACCAAAATGTGTCCTCTGCTGAAGTGAGTGTTTTGTGATTTTCCAAACTGGACTTGCTAGCTAACTTGAAATTAACAGTTGGTTTTAAGAAAACTAAAATTTGGTGACTGCAGGCTAAAACAAACAAGCTTAAAGTTGATGCAATATTAATAATCCAATCAGACATTTGTACCTGGGGGAGGAACAGAGCTCAAGGTCTTGCAAACTACAAACAAAGAGATGAGATAGTGCTGGAAAGATTACTTTTTTTCTTTTTAAATACTGCATTTCTTCAAATTCTTAAACACAAAGAACTGTGTCATCACTTCCCAGCATACTTTTCATTTCCATTTATGTTTCATACATCCCAGCACAACCTTCCCCCCACTGTCTCTCACTTGTGGCTCAGCAGAATGCAGCAGTATTTCTTTCATGTGCTGACAATTTTTGACTGATAATTATTCCCCAAGTATGGAGAAAATGTTTTTCACTTCTGTTGCCCAAAACCCTTGCTTTCATCAATGTAAAAGGATCAATGCCAGGCAGAACTGTAAACTTAGGAGAAACAACATATCTTGAACACATTCCACAGCGTTGTCCCAAGACAAACATATCCTCCATTAATGCCTTGCAGCCACACATTTCAGGGTGCAATTCTTTAGTAAAGGCTGTTTTTCCCCTCCTGAACATGACAATCCTGGTTACCTGTCAGGTCCAGTGAAGCACAAACTTGGAACCAAAAGCTACTCCCACACCTCCACGTGGCTCAGTCCGTGCTGCTGTTTACTCCACAGTACAGCTGTCTGGCAAGTGCAAAGGGCTGGTTTAGGACAAACATTGATAAAAATTAGCTCATCTCATCCTATTCAGCATTATCATTAACAGCTGGGGTGATGGAATAGGTTGTGCACTTAAACTGACAAATGAGAGCAGCCTGGAAAGTCTAATAGCATGCCAGCAGGTAGGAGCTAGAAATCAAAATTGCCTTAATGCATTCTATCCAGCATCAGAAAGATTGTATCAGTTGTATTATGTCCTGGGCACCATTCTTCAAAACAGATGAAGACAATATGGAAAGGGTTCAGAAGAGGACAGCAAGAACAATGAATGCTTGATGTAGAAAATATGGCCCCTTAAGAAAGATGGAAAGAATTGACCTGTATAACTAAGAGAAGATTGTGGGTGGAAAAGTGAGAAATACCTTCCTGTCAAAAGGAAGAGCAATAAGCAACTTCCAATACAACACAGGATGGGAAAAGGAGTAACCAGCTTAAATTATGTCAGGATAACACAGACATAAGGAAACAAAAAAAAAAAAAAACAGAAATTCTAGTAAAAAACAATTATGGGAGCTCATAATTTCTCCAGTCATAGCTGATTCCTCATCAATGTAGAGAGAGACTCAATGAGTCCTCAAATTTTCCTTGATCACCTCCTGCTGCAGCCACTTCTGTCCCCCATTGCTGAATCTACTTTCAGTCCATGCTCAAACAAAGGAGCAAGACAGATGCTTGCACATACAGTTACTTACCAGTATTCCATGAAATGGCAATGACAATACATTATAACAATCCAGGTGGTCATCACTTCATGTTTTTTTCCTCTGTTTTGCCTTTTTTGCTAATATTTTTGTATGAATTGAGCAAAAGTATTTGTAGTCTGCAATATTAGCAAATACATTACCTCTGTCTTAAAATATTAGCAAATACATTACCTCTGTCTTAAAAGTAGATAATATTTGATATGCTTCTATTAAAAGAGAGAGCTAAGCAAAACATCAGAAGTACTAATGTCAAGAAAGCACTTATAGAGGGTCATAAAATGTAACAGGCATTGGAAATAAACACTTTTAGCACATTCTAAAAAATACAGTATTGTCCAATGAAAGCTAAATATACACCAAATACATACTTGTGTATGCATGTATTTTATCTCAGCAACTGATAAGAATTCTCAGAAGACATTTTGCTGCAACTAGGCTATAAAGAATTAACTTTATCAGAAACACGTTATCTATTTGTCTCAGGAAATAGCTATGTAATTACGCTGGCTGCAGCATTATTTTTTAATTTAGCACCATAAGAACTGAACAGCACTTAAGATTGACCTCAAATAATAATTTGAGTGAAAAATTTGCATTATGTGTGAACACAATAAATGGTGACCACCTCTGTCAACAGGTGGTTTTCCTAACCTTTACTGCATTAAGTATTAGAGAATGTGTGGTTTAAATAACCAGATAAATATACTCAGAGTGAGTGGACAGAGAAAGCTCCCTGTGACCAGTTTACAACCTGGAGCCTGTTTGTCCAAGCCATTTGGGAAGGATCAACAAACATAAGATGGTTGGTCTTTACCCCTTAGTGTTTGCTTAAGAATTAATATAAAACAACAATAAAAGAAATTTTTCAAAATCAATTTCTTATGTAAAACACAAGGGGACAACATAAGCCTTGTTCATTTAAAGTATTGCATAAGCATAACAACTCTTTGTAAGGCAGCAACACAATCTAACAAACCAAAAAAATAAGTTGAATCATTTGTGGTATAGAGAGCCAAGTAACTTACAGTTTGTACTTCTGAATTCTATGTACATGAAAATATATAAAGATTGACATAATTTGTTTTATGAACTCAAGCAGCTTGGGCAAGAGGTGTTGTCTGGGCTCTGTGAATTACAGTGGTTTGCATTAATAGGAGTCAATGGATCTGCAGCACTCGGAAACTGCTCAGCAGGGCATCACTTGGGCTCGCGTTACAAACAGAGCTTAAAAACTGCTCAACACAAGAGCTGTGCAAAGCTTGCCCCAGCAGAGAGTCCCACCAGTGAGGCAACAGTGACAAATCTGGGAATTCCAAAAAAGTACAGAATCTTGTCAGCTAGGAATAATTAAATGGAGTTCAGTGCTTTTCCTTGTTGCCAGAAAATACACAGCCATAAAATAGCAACCAACCAGTGAGGCACCAAGGAGTCAAGCTGATACACCTGGAAACCCAAGAACTCTGTAGGTAACCAACAGGACAATTACTAACAGAGGGAAAGAAACAAAGAGATCAGAAAGAGAATGTGAAGGAGATTTTTTTCTTATTTTTTCCTAAAGCATTAATCAAGTACATCTCAGGTTTGAATCTTCTAGTATTTTTATTCACTTTTATTAGATGTTCAGTTCTTGAAATAAACTTAAAACAAAAAAGCAGCCTCTGCACTTTTCTGTAAGGCCTTGATGGAATGACTGACCCTGCATGTATATTCATCCTTGCCTACAGGGTTAGTTCTTAGGAATAATAGCTCATTTTTGCTGAAATGTCCACAAGAACATGAAATCTGGAGCTTGCTATGAAGACAGCTATTCAAAGTGTGGATGAACTGCATCCTGTTCCTGGGGGGAACCTGATGAGAGACATTTATTGCCCTCCAGACCAGGAAGGGGCTCCTTATTTACTTCAAGAGAAGCTATTCAGTTCTGAATAGCACAGTATATTAGCAAAGATAATTGGCCTTTCTAAAACAAAAGGAAAATATATGAAATAAATTTCTAAGGTAATGCAATACACAAGTGCACTTGTATTACTATTAGCATAATAAGTAATGGAAATGTATATAAATGTGTACATCTGATCCTGTAATCAAAATTATCTTCTCCTTCACATTGCAGACTGTGTTAATAAAAGGCAAAACATAGCAACCCTGGCAGGTAAATTACCCAGTCCCACGTGTTGTCGAGAATCACCTCCCATTTAGTGTTCTATAAAAGCCATTACCTAGCAGTGGTCACAGTGGTAAGGCAGCTTGTTATCCATGCCTTCCTCACTGAAATAAGCACGGCCTCATGGACCAGCTCAGGAGAGTCATCCAATCAGATGCCAAAGGTACGTGACTAGGCGTATTAGAGTACTTAAACAAGAGCTTTTCTATTTGTCATCTTGCCCAAAAGTAGCAATAATGTACCTTCTCAAAATACAATAAAGAGGGGAGAGCTCAAAAAAGCTTCTAGAAAAAAATTGGTATGCTTAAGAAATTTTAAAAGACTTTAGCTTTTGGTCCTCTGTGTATTTAGAAAAAAGCTAATACAGTTTTTACTAGGCAATTGTTAAATAGCATTTTCTAAAGAAATCTGGAAGTAGGGTAAGGATTCTTTAAGGCATTCAGATAGTAGTGCTAAGGAAAGCAGTATTATTAGATAATCCTACACATTAAAAGCAAAACTGTTAATTTTTTTCTCAGGTGAAACATAATTTCTACTTACTACTATTTACTGTACTAGCTATGCACAAGAGCTGCTATACTACTTAGTTATATGTTTGCTTAGATTCAAAGTTTTATGATGGATATTGTCATGCCTAGCACATCGCTTATAGGAGAAATAAACACTCACAGCACTATCCTTGGAGAAAATGTTCTGACTTGCCTGTGATCTCTTGTTGGAGTCCACAGACAGCAGATGCAGACATGTTAGGAATGTACTTCTCCCTCTGCTCTTTTTTTTCTGCCCACATGCTAGTGAGAGAGAAGCCTACAGCAAAACCAGAAATCTTCTCCATTGCAGCACAATGCACAAAACTACACATGGCTGAACAGACTTGCAGTGGGCTCCAGTAGCCACTAGAGCCAGGAGAGAAACTTCTGAACGGTTTTATAGCATAAAACTGTCTGATGATAAAATGAGGTCATAGTAAATTACATAACATTGATCAAAGTTCTCACACAGCCCTTAAGAGAATAACATAAATTAAATTCTTTCCCTTCAGAAACATTTTGAAATCCAGAACCATCTGGGATTTCATTATCACAGTCCAGAGACTGTGGACCAAAGAAACACCCCCGAGTACTGATGTGGTCACAATGTGGCTCATGCGGCTCTGGCAGATTTCTCTTACATCCCTTTGTTCCTTTGCCCAGCTGTAACAGCCTCGAGTGAGTCAATCATAAAAAGGCTATATTCCCTTCCTACCACACATGCAAACTATTAAACCTAATTTTTGGTTAAAAACAGAAGAAGGGAAGCATTTAATTGCTATTAAACAGCAATACTTATAAGTATTAAGTTTAAGCAATACTTAAATAATACATTTTTAGATATTAATAACTGTCTCACAAACTTGATTGATTTACTGTTCTTATGGACTTAATGCCAAAATAAAGGAGTGCATAGCAATCCATAAAGGAAGCACTTTGCAAAAAGAGTGATCCAGTTATGACAAGTACAAAAAAGGTCTCATGAAATTTCCCTTATTTGGGTATTTTGGGAGAGAAAATGATGATTAAATCCATGTCCAAAAGATTATTCAACATTAAGCATAAGGAAGTTGCTGCAGTTCCAGGTATTAATTACTTTCATTATTGTTATAGCCCTTAGAGTTTAAAGTTGTTTGTTTTGGTTTATTTTAACATCAGTTTATAGAAAACATGGCACAAATGAAAACTAAACCCATCCCATTTCAAAGTTATGGAATCAGACAAGTATGAACCTATAAAAATGAGTTAAACGATTAGATATTCTTTTTAACCTGCAACCTTCCAAGTCTTGTCCTGAAAATTTTAATAGTGAAAGAGTGAAATTCCCTTTCATATCATTCTGTATCATTAATTTTTAACCTTATTTGACAGAGCATGTGTGAAGGACCAGTCCTTTATTGGGTTGTTACTGTAAAAACAAGATATTTAACTTTTCATGTAGGCTCACAGCAACCTATGGTTTTAGATCCCTGATCTATGTCAAAATTCAAACTTTCCCCCAGAAGTGGAACTACTCTTTTAAATTAAAGTGCTTAAACATTTTTGGACTTGAAATACTTCAAGACATTGTTTGTACTCAGGGCAGCACTGAGCTCATCTCTTAGCACACAACTCTTCCATCCTCAGAAGCAAGTTCTTTACTTAAAGAGAGAATTTACAATTAAAGGGAAAGTTTACATCTGCTTTTGATTATCAGAATTATATGGATTCCTTTTTTAAGTGA